TCCTCAGCTCTCACAACAGCTCTACAACATAGTCCTCGTGCTGTTTAAGGTGAGGAGACAGGCTCAGGGCAGGAACCCCGGGGGGGGGGGGGGAGCTTGGTCCAGATGTACTGCCAACAGCTTTAGAATGAGCCTGAGGGTTGGACCCAGGCATTGGGAGCCAATGGAAAGTGAGATGGTTTAAAATCTGAGGTAGGAAAACTATGCCTGCCTGCCAGGAGCTCCAGCCCAGCCCTCCTCTGGAATGTAAGGTCTCTTACATCTTTCAAGCATAAGTCACAGTGTAGAATGCGTGTGTGTTCAGCCTGTCCTGGAGTCAGATTTAGCTGACGTTTCCTTGGAAAAGGCCTGCTGTGGTAGGAAGGGGAGAGTCTCCTGTCTGGAGGCTGTTGGCCAGGGACAGAGAGTTCCTTGACATGACCGAGAAGATCTTTCTAGAACCCCGGGTGACCAGGCCCCCAGGTGGGCCTTAAAGACATGTGATTCTGGCTAACTTTAGGGTATCACAGATGCCAATGAAGGGGGCCAGGGGTGGAAGAGAGAAGGCAGGCTAGACCTGCCCCCAGGCTCTGTGGGGTCCCCCACCTTCACCCCGCAGTGTGCCTCTGGATGAATTGTTCCCCCTCTCTGGCTTACTTTCTGCTTCTCTATTGAATGGGACTCTCCGCTCTATCTCCCCCTCCTCCATTTTTGGGTTATCTTTGTATAGAGGAAAATGCACAATCTACTAGGTATACTTATGGAATTTCCACACATGCTTGCAAAACCACCGCTCAGATCAAGATGGGAAGTTTCCAGCCCTGACTCAGATGGCAGCAGTGTCTCAGGAAGGGCCTTTCTGGCCTCTCCCAGCCTCTGTCCCCACAGCCCTGTGCTGGGCCAGCCCCCGCTTGAAGTGTGCGCCTCGGGATCTCGCCACACTCTTGAATGCGTGTGGCGAAATGAGCAGCCAGCTCCCAAATCGCTTTGTATGTTGATGACATGTTAAAATGTCGCTTTGTTTGACACATAGAGTTAGATGAAATGCTGTTCAGGTGAATGTCACCTGTTCTTTCTCTTTTTTTCCACGTGGCTGCTAGAAAATTTCAAATTCAACCTGGCTCATGTTGCTGTGGCCTGGCGGCCCCTGTGTCACCCGCCTCTGTGCCTGAGGGGTCTGGTGGTGCGTGGGGGTGTGAGCTGGGGCAGGGCCAGCTCTGCACAGCTGTGCTCTTGGTGGCTTTTGCACCCGTCTGTACGGGCCCCTTCCGGTCTCGGGTATGGCCTCCAGTTCAGGGCCTGGCTGCCCATGTGGCAGGGTTTTTGCTGTTCCTGCCTGTTTAAAAAAAAAAGAAAAATACAGTTACATGTCATCCACAGGGCGCTCTGCCACTCTGCAGGAAGGAAAAGGAGGACAAGGTGGGGTTTTAGATTGATGCAGAGGTTTGGGGGGCTTTTTGTCCGGTTCACACCCTGAGCATCTTTGGGTGGCAGGGAAGTCTGCCAGGGCCACAGGGCCATCACCTCTCACTGTCCATCCTCGGGACGGTGGGTGCCATTCCCCACAGGCTGCCTGGTCCTGGCTTCCTGGCTGCATCAGGAATGTTACCGCCATTTGCGAAGGGCCCTCCTCATCTGCTGTCCACCTCCATGTCCTGTCACTGTCTCTGTCCCTGTACCTGACGGGTCTATCCATAAGGTGGTGGAGGGAGCCAGTTGGATGGGGATCCAGACACCTTGCCTGGAAGGTATTGCAGGCAGAGTAGGGGTGGGATATGGTGGGTCGAGCCAACAGCTGAGCAGAAGGAAGAGTTGGAGATGGGGGCAGGGAGCAAGGAACTTGTGCCTTCGGCATCAGCCATAAATCCCCTTCTCTGGCCCAGTTTGGGGACAGTGCCCAGCTGCAGTGGGAGCCGGATCGCATGGTGAGTGACAGGATACAGGAGCCCAAGGTCTCAGTCCTGAGCCACCCTGCAGGTGAGGGAGCAGTCAGGCGCAGTCTGTATACCATCATCCCACCCACATTTGGGGCAGTGTGGCATCTTCCCAAGGAGAGACTTTGGGGGTTCTAATGGGCTCCAGAGCAGGGGCAGTCACCACATTGTTGGACAAGCTAAGGTCTTGATCACTCCTGACACAGGACCCCTAATTTTGCAAATTCCCGATGTAAATCCCAGAGCGTGAATCGGACATGTTGACATCATACAGGCCTTGTAGCTGGAAGCTGGTTCCCGGACTTGATATGTGACCTTTGCTTTGTGGCAGTAATTGGAATGCCTAGCTCTTGTCTTTTGGGCGTGACCTTAAAACGTGTCTCCAGGCCAAATGATTGTCTATATCGAGACAATCTGCTCCTGCTGGGCGGAGAAGGGTCCCCACCATGGGAAGGGTATCCTTTCATGCTTCCTGGCTATTTATCTCTTTAGAGTCACTTTGCTTTTAAGGTCTCTCAGGGGTCATATGACTGTTTTTCTACATACTTTGATCTGGATAGAATCATTTTTGGGGTTAACCTTTGTGTGTCTGGTGGACTGGTTTTTCTTTTGTTTTTGCAGTGTGAAACAACTTTTTTGAAAGGTAATTTTGCTCATTTACATTTATTGTTAAGGCTGTGGTTTTGGACTGTACAGTTTCACTGTAGATTTCTGAGATCTTATCTGACTGACTTCTAATGGCCAACGGACACACACGGGAGTGCTCTTATTTCGTTAGATTGCCATATATAGCTATCACAAAGCAGAGGAACTTTGGACTTCCTTCTATAGGCAGGCAGCTTGGGGCGCTTGCTTCCTCCTGGGTGACTTTCACCCCACCCCCATGCTGCCGGGCTCAGGGTTGAGAAACACATTCATTCTTGGTTCTTCTTTCTGGTTTTTACAACCAGCTTGTGTTCTCTCATTTGCACTGGTGACATATATTCTGGACGAATTACACAGTCTCTCTGAGCCCAGCCTGTGACTCTTATCGCTCAAAAAATTCAAAAGCTAATATGCTGAGTGGATGATGTAGGAGGCTGCATCTGGTACATGTTAGCCACCCTAGCAAATATTAATCTCTCCTCCCCTGGGAGTGTGCTTGGTGGCTTGGCGTGGAAGGGGCTTGTCTTTATACTGTAAACCTTAAAGTGGGGCCTTCTGTTTTGTCCTTGTGGTAACCTTTCTTTGTATTCTTATAATTTTTAAATTGAGGTACAACTCAGGCAACATAACATTAACCATGTAGTGGCAATTAGTACATTCACAATATTTTGCAACCTGCATCTCTACCAAATATTCCAAATGTTCCAAATATTTTCAGCATCCCAAAAGGAGAAGGTGGCACTTCTTTGGAATGTCAGCGTTGGGGCCAGCTGGATTTTTATAACTATTGCATTGGGCAAGCATTAAAATCTTCAACCAATGTTTTGTCATCTTTAGATGGAAATAATCTTGATCATCCTACAGGTGTTTTAAAAATCAGACTTATTGAAGTATAATTTACATATCACAAATTAATTCATTCCAAGTGTGTAATTGATTTTTAGTATTGTACAGTGTTGTACAATTATCACCAACATTTCACTTTAGAAAATTTCTATCATAATCTGTTCACATCTCCAGCCCCTAGAGCTGCTGATCTGCTTTCTGTTTCTGTTTCTGGATTTTTCTCTAGACATTTCTTATAAATGAAATCATACAATATTATCTTTGATGTCTGACAGTGCATGTAGCACAATGAATTTGAAGTTCATCCATGTTATAGATGTGTCCATGACTCATTCTTTTTTATGGTTGAGTAATATTTCACATGACTAGATCATAGTTTGTTTATTCATTCACCTGTGGGTAGACATTTGGGTAATTTTTCACTTTCTGGTTATTGTGAATTTACTCCTTTGATCATTGTGTGTGAGCATTTATGGGGGTATATGTTTTCATTTCTCTTGGGTGGGTCTTTAGGAGAGATTTTTTGGTCCTGTTGAGGGGTTCTAAAAATTAAGTTTGCCAATGGCAGTAAGTGAACACATTAGTGCTCATTACATGTTAGTAATTGTTGACATTATTTCTCTGTGGACTTCTCTTCCATAGGTGATGTTCTTACCTTCAGGCATGTTATTTGTATTTGGTAGATTCCTCTGTCACCCAACTAAAATTTTTCTTGTTTATTGACATGTTAGGATCCACATATTGAAATAACTGTTTAGTTTCCATGGTCCAGTTATCTGATAATCCAGGTCACCTCCTTCATGCCGCCAGCATTGACTGAACCTCAGCTGTAGGTTTTTATAAGAACCTGTGTGCCCTAAGAGGGGACAGTGACCAAATCCATTTTTCCCATCACTATAACCCCGTCACACGGGACAGTGCTTGTTAAATGGATGAAAACAAGTAACTGAGTGTGGCTGCCGAGCCCAGGATAGACTTTTGTGCCTTCGTGGTATCCTTACCATCAAGGGTAAGAGCTGGCTTGTCCCGTATCACGACGTCGACCATGTGTCTCTCCCCAAATCCGCCCACGGTAATGTCATGTTGTAGCTTGAAATCAACCACGCTGGGGCTGTTTACATGGTAGAAATGGGCAAAAGCTGCAAATCTGGATGTCTTCCCTTTTCCTCTGTTTTTTTTTTTTTTTTTTTTTTTTGAGAGTCTAGGATTGAACATTTGCCAGTCTGCCTTTCCCCCCTCTTCAGTTATTCTCCTGACATGGTGGTTTTTTACAGATGAAAAGGCACCCAGAGGTGAAGGCACTGGCCCAGGGTCACACACCCACAAGTCACAGAGCCAGAATTCAAATCCGCATCTGACCTTGGCCCAGGTCCACAGCCTGAGGACTGCAGGCACCCCTCCCCCATCTTCCCATCTCGAGATGCTTACATCTTTGGGGGGTGTTTTTTCCCCTGCCAGACCACTCTGTCACCCAATTTCCATTTTGATCATTTCTTAGCATCTTAGGTGCCAAGATTTCCTGGCATGTTGCCTGGGCAATGCTTAGCTGCTGTCCCTCCTTACCAAGAACTCTGTGTTTTGTTTTTGTTCTTGCAGAATTTCGCTAAAGAGTTTGTGATCAGTGATCGGAAGGAGCTGGAGGAAGATTTCATCAAGAACGAGCTCAAGAAGGCGGGGGGAGCCAATTACGATGCACAGGCCGAGTAACCCCACCCCCCGCCCCTTGCCAAAGTCATCTGCCTGCTCCCCGGGGGAGGGGACCCCGGCCTGGCTACCAGCCCACCAGCCCACCAGGGAGAGGAGACCCAGCGAGAGGCAACGCCCACCGCCTGCCTGCCACCCAACTCCCTTCCCCGCTTCCCTCTTGGGCCCTGTTGCGTCCTATCTCATGAAGCTCATGGAACATCTTTCTTTTATCTTCTTGTTTTTTCATCCCCTCTCTTTTTTGTTCTAAAGAAAGATCATTTTGATGCCAAGGTCATGCACATCATTAGATCTAAGGTGCCTCCTGCAGTCACCCCTTTCCTGGCATGTCGCTCACGCGCCTGTCCGGCCTCCACCGTGGCCTCGTGCTGCTGCTTTCTTGGTCTCTTTGGCCTGCTGGCCACTGAGGTGCCAGGATAGTGCCAGATGGCTGCCTTCAGGGCCCACACATCCATCCCTGCCTCAGGCTCAGAGCCATTAGAGCACGCCCCAAGGTCCCTCCCCGCATCCCACTCAAAGTTGCCTAAGCTCCATGTCTGACAGAGATGGTGCTCGGTGGTGAGAAGTTTAGGCCTGACTCAGAAGAGAGAGGACATTTGCCTTAAAACTTTGCCTGGCAAAGCCATGTGATCTGAAATAGCCCATTCTGGCCTTTTGATGGACATCGCTTGAAGGCCGGGAGAGGGGGCAAAGGTCTGAGTCTAGACTGGATGGGAGGTTCATTCAGGGGCTCCCAGAGTGATGTTGGGAGCACGACCTGGTGGGCAGATGGGACTTTAGAACTGGAACTCGCCCTGGACGGTCAGGAAGGGCCGCTGCCAACAGCCGTGCCAGCTGGACCTTGGGCCTGCTCGGTCGCATCCCTGTGTGTGGTAGGCAGTAGCCCTGCCTTGGGGGGCCGGAAGCTCTGTGGTATTAATCCTTGGTCTGCACCACACATGCAAAAGGATTTTCTTGTTCTTTTTTCAAAGAAAGATGGGATTGGCTTGGTTCTTCATGGGCACATTTTATAGCGTTCTTTTTCTTTGTTTCCTTGCTCATTACACTCTGGAGAAAACTGTGCTGTGCTGGGGTGTGACCATCTGCCCCTCCAACAGATACAGGAATAAATGTTGATTTTGTTTTTCAAAAAACGAGTGCGTCTGGGTTGTCTAGTAGAGGCAGCTGTCGTGGGATTCAGGCTTAATTTAACCAGCCTGGAAAGAGCTTCATTCATATTCAGTCCCTTCATTTGTAGCAATAACTTTCAGGGCCCCATTTTATGGAAACTGGGCTCAGAGAGGCAGTGATGTACTTGGGACACAGCTGGAAAGTGGCAGAGTTGGGACTCGAACCCAGGTCTCCCGGGGACCCTGGTTCTGTGGCTGATGAGGGCAGTAGGAAGGGAGTTTGGGTCAGTGAGGCAACAGCAAGGTAGAATATCTCTGGAGCAGTCAGTGCCCTCTTCTGTCTTTCCAGGAAAGTTGAGCAGAAGCCTCCTCCTCAGCTGGGCCGTGACAGCCTCTCTGAAGTTTTCCTGAGCTGACATTCTGGATTCCGGCATGCCAGGTCTAGTGGGAACTCAGAAGCAGGCTGGCGGCATCTCGGAGACACAGACAACTGGCTTGACGTGGGAGGAGCCGAAGCTGGAAGATTTTTTGAATGGTGCAGTTAGGCCATGTGAAGCTGTCCACAAGGACACAGGCCCACTGCAGTCACATCTGGGTTCTAAGCCCTACTCCTCTGCTCATACTATGTGCCTTTAAGGAAGTTAGTTAACCTCTCTGGGCTTCAGCATCTTATCTGCAAAACAGGCAACACTGTTCCCTACTGTGATAGGTCAGGAAGCAGTGAGGATCAGGAGGGTGTCTTCACTATAGCAGGCTGCTAGGAGGTCTGGTTAGCTCAGCATGCCCCGGCGTTTCCTGTACGTAGCCAGAGGGAGCCAGACTAAATCTCTGACTTCCTGGCCTCTGTGCTGTTTGCTCCAGTCAGACAATTTGGGATGATTACAGAGGAAGACAAGCCCCCGCGGGACAGTCAATATATTGAGGACAGGCCCAGCTACTGGGCCTGGTCAGGGCTTCTAAGAAGGCTGCTCTGTGGAGGTGACACCTAAGCTGAGAATTGCAGGGGAAGGGTGAGGCAGGGAAAGGGTGGGGGATGAACACCACTGAGGGTGCTTGCTGAGGGGGGCAGCAGTGAGGCGGGAGTTGGGTTGGTGTCCAAGAGCCTGGTTTTAACTAAGGGCTGTGGCTCAGGCCTTGCTGGGATTTCAGAGGGTATCTGATGGGGGTGGTGAGGTCCCCAAGAGCACAGGCCTTGCCTTTATTGATGATCACATAACAGGTGCCTAGTGTCAGGGTGCAGGGGAATATTCCCCATCCCATCTGGGTTCTTCTGAGGATGACAGATGAACAAATTAACATCAGACAGATTAGTAGGAAAAACGCCAGAATAACATACATAAGAAGAATTGACAGGATTGTAAATTCTCAGGAAGAATGGGACAGTGAGGAGGAGGTCCCTGCATTTAGGGACCTGGGGTGTCACGGAGGGGGTGTATTTCATGACAGACAAGTTGGTGGTGATTTCCACTCTGGAAGTAAAAAGATGAACTTCTCCAAGAGGACATGTTCACTCATAAACCTATACCTGGGTGAAACTCCCCTAAACTACCTTCTTCTAGGTCATAAAAGGGAAGCAGTGATAATTACTCCTCTTGGGAAAAAGCTTAAGAAGTGACAGCCTCTTTCCGTTAGGGAGGGGTGAGGGACATATCAAGGACAGACTTCTCCTGGCCTCAGGATCATCACTGCAGTCAAAATATTGATGAAACAATCCATGTTGTCATGGTAATAGGTCACTCTGCCTCCGGCTGCCCTCCCCCTCAGGCTCACAGGGCCTCAGTTGACCTATAGTTCCCATATCAAGGTGACCAGAGGCCTACTCTAGGAAGGAAATTCTACCTGATGCCTCTGGGGAGACCAAGCCCACACTGGTAGTAGCTGGAGCTGCCTCCTCCTGCTCCTGTGTCTGCCTGAGGCCCAGCACCTCCTGCCGGGCCTCTGCTTAGATACCCTCTGAGTTCCTTACACACTGATCACCTACAATTGTTTCTGGTCACCCCAAACCTAGTTGTACAAAGGCACCACTGTTTTATCTCACCTTTGATTTGGTGGGGTGGGAGATCAGGATGGGCTCAGCTGGGTGGTTGTCTAGTAAGGGTCTCTCATGTGGTTGCTGCCAGCCGGCCCTCTCACATGGTGGGGGCTGATGCTGGGGGCCCGGGGTGGATACTCAGCAGGGCTGTGGCCCCTTAGTGGGTGGTCTCAAGGTTGTCTGATTTCATACAGGATGCCACGCGCCCGGAGAGATCCTGCCCACAGAGCCAGGAGGAAGCTGTCTGGCCTTTCCTGGCTGAGCTTTGGGGGTCACATGGCAGGCAGCATCTGCCCTGAGCTCTAGTGGGGGGGAGTGACTGTGAGCCCCCAGATGCTAGGGGAGGGGACACGGACCTGATAACAGTCGGAGGGCCAGCTCTCCTATGACCTTTTAAGCGAGACACGTGCTGTGACTGGTACCGTGTTGGTCCTGAGAGCCTCACCTGCCAGGGACATGGAGCACAGGCGAGCTGCAGAAAACCCAGCCAATAATTGCAGCCTATTTCTGTGCTGCCAGGGGAGGATTGCTGTTCCTAGCTGATTGCACCCCTGGGGAGGCTTAGTTTCTCAGATTTGCACCGCAGGGGGTTTCCTGAGGCTGGAGAGGGGGACTGGCTCTGGGGAAAGCCTCCTGCTGTTCCCCGACCCTCCCATGGGTGCGCCTTACTCATCACAGCCCCTGCTGCTTCCTGTTCCTATTTCTTATGAACCACATACAAGAGCCACAAACTAGAGTCAGAAGGTCACCAGGAGGCATGACTCATCCAGGGTGGGCAGTGAGGGTCAGGCTGGAGGGTGGTGGTGGTCAGTGGGTGGTAGGGACCGCTCCCCTCCCCTCAGAGCCGCAGCATCCTGGCCAGGGTGGGGTCCTGTCCTGTCCCCACGGCTGCTGTCACCAATGACCAAAGCTTGGGTGATTTATAAATGTCTACTTGTAAGTAGTAGACATTTATTTCACATCAAGGGGCCACATAGTCACCCAGGGCCCTCTCCTGGTCACTTACATGCCGTCAAACCCTGAAGGAATGAGGGAGCTCATCACTCCCTAAAAGAGGAGTCTCATGAGGGCACTCACCTCTCTCCAGCACCCCGTCCTCAGACCCTAATTGCCTCCACAGGCCCCACCTCCTAACACCATCACTTTGGGGTTAGGACTCCACATGTGGATTTTAGGGACACAACATTCAGGCCCCAGCATGGCGAGACATCTGTTTCAGGGCTGAGCTGAGCTCTGCAAAGTGCCCGGCTGTCTGTTAATGTAAAGATGGCTGTGTCCAGGGGCATCATCATGATCATCATGGTCATGGGAAGTGGGGAAGTGCTGGTTCTCAACAGCCTCTGGCCTGACACCAGTGCAGCATAATGGAGCCATCTAGATCTTTCCAGCTTGCTCCACGGTACCACCACCCGGGGCCCCATCACGATGATTCTGGGCTTGGCAGGCATTGCCTTGACAACACAAGTGCCTCTAGAAAATGTTTTCCCAGAACAGGCTGAGTCCTGGATCTCAGATGAAGACGGGGCCCTTGCACTGAGAGCCAGCACTGGGCAAGCTCCCAACTCCCCCACTTACAGGCTGTATGAGCTCAGGTAAGATGCCTGACCTCTCTGAGGAATAGCTACGGCAAGTCACGCAGCTGTGCCAGTGTGTGTGTGTGTGTGTGTGGGTGGGGGGGGGGGGGGGACAAAGCACCAAACATTGGTGAGCAGAAGCAGCCCCCTGCCCCCGAGCAAGTGGCTGAGCCAGGACGTGACCCTAGGCAGGCCCGGACTTAAGCATCTTTGACAAGTTCATGCCCAGGAGTGAATGAATGAGCCCACAGGAGTGAGTGAGTGAAGTCCAACTTTCTGACAGTCAGCCTCTCCTGGGTCCCCAGCTGCCCTTGGCCAGGATGAGGCCCTTGGGCAGGCGGTTGCCCACACCCTCCCTCTCCCTCCCACCCCTCCAGCTATGAGAGGGTGACCAAAGATGGCCAAACAAAGAGGGGTCCTGCCAGCAGCCAACCTGCCATGACCGAGGGGCCTCAGCAGCATGAAAACCTTTTCTTCTCAATGGAGACAAGTGCAGATGTCTTGTGGGGGCCACTGACACCCCCTGGGGCCTGTGGGACCTGTGGGGCCTTCCTGGAAGACACCACCATGTGCCTTGCGGTAGTGCAACATCCCCAAGACTGGCTGTTCTGGTCTTGGTCAGAACACAGAAACCCCAACCCCAGACAGGGAGAAGTCAAGAAACTGGGCAAAGAACAGGCACCCCAAGATGTCAACAGGAACATCAGGCTGGCCCAAAGTCACGCTTGGCTGTAACCTGGTGTCCCCTCCACTCTGATGTGTGGACAGCTGAGTGGGGGGTAGGTGCTCACCCTTCTTCCTGTGGACGTGGGTCTAACGCTCTGACCCCTAAAGCCAGTGCAGTTTCCGTCTCAGGGGCAGAGAGAGAGAATGGCTGAAAGTATTCGGGCTACAGGACCCCCCAAAGGCTCCAGCGGGACACCTGCCGCAGGGAATCCTCTCGAGACTTGGAGAGAGACTCCCAGCCAGCTGGCCACCCCCACGCCCCCTTAAGTTCCTGGCTTTGCCTCGCTGCACTCTGCCCCAGCCTGGATCCTCTGGGGCTGACAGCTGGGGGCCTGTGATCCTTGTTTTTGTTTGAATATAAATTCTTAAGGCATGAAACTAAGAGAAAAGCACTTTTCAACTTTTTTCTTTTCAAGATGATGCTTTCACTTGGTGCCTTTTCTAGCCCAGAGAAATTCATTTTAAATTTAGAAGAGAATTTCACTCCCCGAGTGGGGGCTCCTTCCCTACCAGTGCTTCGCTACTCTCCCACCCGCCCCCCAGCACATCCCAGCCAAAGATGAAGCTTAAATTTTCTGGGGTGAGGGGGCTGGCCTCCTGCTCAGTGTCCCCCCTTCACTTGCCCGGGGGCCCCCTCTCTTCCTCTCAAAACAGATCAGACTCTGCGTTCACCCACTCTGCCAAGA